AGAGTTTTGGCTCTCTTTCTCCCCATCTTTTCTTGTCCTTGGATTGACCAAACTAGAATAACTGTTGGGAATGAGTCTCCCACATGAAAAAACAGTCACCTTGTGCAGCTATCTGAAACTATAAGGAGGGACCTACCAAATTTACAGGCCCCAATGAACAGTTACACAGCTGTAACAGCCAGGGCCCCTGGTTTCACGGCCGTATCACAGCTGAAGCCGCCACTTTGAAGGCAGAGCAAATTTTAAATCACAGATTTGGGGGGTTTTAATGTCAGAGAATTTGTGATTTTTTTTTTTTTTTAAATCAGGGAAAACCAGGATCCCTGATCATCACCCTCTTCAAGTGGGGAGGGAGATAATTACTGAGTAAACAAACAGTGCCTGCAAGCATTTTTAAAGCCTTCTGGGCTTCCCAGACTGACCCCTGACTGGCTCCTGGACTGAGCTGATGTCAGGGGCTCAGCCTCCAATTTGCTCTGCTCCCACTGTCCGCCCCCCCCTCGCCCTTCGGGAGAATAGGACTTTTGGAGGCTTTTTCCCTGCTTGTCCCACTCCTCTTCTGGAGACTGGGAACTTTTCCCACCTCTCCCCAGCCCACACCTGCTTCAGGAGACAGGCAGTCTGCCGTTTCCCTCCCCGTTTTTGGTCCCTTCCCCCTCCCCCCCACCCTTCTAGGAGACAGCTTTTTGCCATCTTTTTGAACACAGCCAGTTCACCACGCTTTTTCCCAGGGAACCAGCTATTTCACGGGAGACCATTTCTCTTATGGTGGCTCACTGCTAGGGACCTACCAAATACACAGTTTGATGGATTTCATGGAAATGGTGCAACTGGCAAGCTGAAGCCCAGAGATCAAACAGCTTTGGGTACCATCATCTATGAAAAGATGCTACTCCTGCCTAAACAAATAACCATTCAACCAAAAATAAGCAGGAAGAACACGGGCAGACAGTTTCTGTGGCAGAGCCAAGATGGCATTGACTTGTGGTACCATCCAGCAGTCGGGAAGGAGGTAGGTGCTGGCTGGAATCAAGCCGAAATCCAAAGGCTGTAGACTGCCTGGAAACAAAAGTGGAAAAAAAAAAAAACACACACACACACAAAACTCCAAATCTTAGCACTCTTTCCCAGGTTGGCAAAAGCATTTCCTGAGAGGAAGTTGTTAACTGACAAACCCCACCAGCCTACCACATGCCATCCCAAGAGCTTTGGATTGTTTGAGGACCAAAGACTAACTCTTTATCCTCTCACATAGGATAGATACTCCTAAGCACATGTAATAAGGACTGTATTCCTTGCCTCCTTAAGTGGGACATATTTGCTTGAAATACACATTCCTGAGCAGTAGGGAAGCAGAGGCCATTCTCAGATCAGATGATGCAACTCTCTAAGGTTTAGGTCAAATTGTAACAGCTATTTAAAAACATACTATAGTGACAGTATTACTGGAGGAATTTGGTACAAAAAGCCATCAGAAGAGTGGGATTCTTAAAAGCTTCAGTCCAATACAAGTGGGAAACCAACCATCTTCATCTGTAGGTGGATGGAGGATCTACAGCAGGGACAGGCAAAATATGGCCCATGGGCTAAATCTGGCCTGCCAAGCACTTTCATCTGGCCTGCGGTGCCCACCAACAAATTGTGCCCTGCCCAGCCCTTCCACCCATGAGAGTGGAAGCAAGGTGCCCATGTGTACACACAGCCCAAAACATACCCTATTGTATCGCACTCCCACCCTTGGCCCAGCCAACATGCAGCTTCCAGGCAGGGCTGCTGCAGCCCCCGTGGACCTGCTCCACTTCCCCGGGCACCTGCAGGTAGGGAAGCAGCAAAGGTGAGGCTGCAGCTGGACGGGAGTGTGGGGCTGAAGGCAGTGCAGACCCCGCGCGTCCAGGGGGGCAGCGGCAGCATGGAGTTTGGGTGATGGGCAGCGTGTGGGTGTACGGAGGGGGGACGGACCTCCCACATTCCCCCTACGGCACAGCAGCAGCAGGCAGGGTACTCAGGGCACAAGTACCCAGTGGGATGCAGCTCCAGCCAGCAATGCACATCACAGCAAGAGGCGCAGCCTCCAGAGCCCGGGCTGCACTGCTCTGCACTGCAGAGCCCGGGCTCCCCTGGGGAGCGGGGAAGGCAGCTGGCTCCAGTGCCTGGGGCTTCCCTCCTGTGCCCAGTGAGTGCAGGGACTGTGGGTGAGTGGCAGGGAGCACCAGCGAGACAGCCCAGTAAAAGCTGTGCCCCTCACTGTGATGTGCAGCACTGACCGGAGCTGTGCCCAGCCAGGCACCTGTGCCCCGAGCACCCCACCTGCTGCTGTGCCATAGGGGTAGTGCAGGGGGGGTCCCCACACCCCACAAGACCCACACATCCACACCCTGCCCCCACAACCCCCCCCATCATACCCTTTGCCTCCACATTCACCACCACACGCCCTCATAAACACCCCCACACATCCCCCCCACACACAATATACAACACTAAGAATATATTTTTGAGTTATTATGTAATCACCTCTATATACACTACCCAAACACAATTCATGACAAAAATATTTTCCATAATAAAATTAAAATATGTTCTAGTAGGCATTTGGACTTTTAGTCTATAATTTGGGTTTTTTATGCTTCTAAGATGGCAACCCCTGCAAAAGGAATATTTCTAGGGGGTGGGGGGGGCGAGGGGAGGGACTTTTGGTGGCAAAGGTCAGGGAGTAGGACTTCTGGTCCCAAGATAGCAACAAGGGGGCTGGGTAACTGTCAAGGGGTGGGGCTACCCATGCAGCCCTTGGCAGCTCACCAAAACTCATTAAAGAGGCCCTCCAGCCAAAATAATTGCCTGCTCCTGATCTACAGCATTGAGAAGGACCTTATTGAAATGAGCATACAGGTAAGGAAATAGCTAAAGGAAACTGGATTTAATGAGTCCACTTAACTATGCTTAAAACCAAGTACTTTGGGAAAATCTGGAAACCCCACAACATATTATCATCTTTGTAAAGTACGGTACAAGGGGAATCACAGTTTCCAAGACATTACCACCGTGCACATAAACTGCTACCAGAAAAATACTTACATATAATAACTGTGCCTAAATGTGTTAAGTGGTTCAAGATGAACGTCACAAGCATATTCATATTTCATTATATTTTCTCTTAAATGGGTGTGTCAAAATTTTTACATTCCACATGAACCTGGCAAGGGCTTGCAGAGATCTTCTATTTCAATATAGGCAAGACCATTTGTGTGGCAGATCTCTGTATATGTATGGCAGCTAAGTTGGATGAAAGAGGGACAAATGAAGGCTTTTAGTCTCCCAACACAGAGCTGGTATATAGCATGGATGTAAAAAACAGATTTTTGAGGTAGATATACAGGTTTTAGAATCCATTAGCATCTGCTTCTGTTCTGTGGGATACATTCTAGTATTTCACTAATACTACTCCTTTCAACTGAAGTTGCTTTTCCAAGCAGAAACCTTCCTTACGATAGGCAGTTGAGGGTCATGCTACAGAAACAAAATACAGGATGGTTTGTATTTCACCCACGTACTGGAGCAGATAGAGGCTTCTGTAAAAGATGATATTCTTGTAGTCTTAATCTTGTTCTGTACCTCCATCGGCCCGCAGCCAAGCTCATCTATGGGCTTCCACCCAACATAGCAATTCTTCCCACTCTACTACTGCCCTCACCTCAGGCTGGCAGGACCAGATACCACAATACATCTCAAATGCAATCTTCAAACTTCTGACATTTACCCTGCGAGGAGCTGCACCTCACCAAGAATCCCTTCTAAGATACATCTCATTGAGCAAAAAGTGTAGCAGCCACAAAAAGGCCAACCAAATTTCAGCACAAAAAAATCAGTTTGGGGCACAGCAGAGTATGCTTTACTAGTCCTTTTTTAGCCATAGCTGTTTCTGGGGTGAGAAAGTAAATGCACTTCCCTTAATTCCCAGACATTTAGATCCACAGGGAGATGGGCACAACTGTTCTCTCAATGTAGAACAGGCTGCGAGTCTACACATGCTATGTAAACACATTACCATTTGTGAGACAGTAAAATCTGACTACTTCCTCACTCCAAGGAATTAGTAATGAAGATAGTTACTCATGGATAATCTATCAGTGTTTAGTCATCTTCAAATTTGTGTAATGATTCTTGCAGCCCATAGGGAGCAACTGTAAAGCATGGTTTTACACAAGAAAAATGCATATTATACACACACCCTCCTCACCTACCTTACCCCCACAAAAAAAATTTAAGCGCACAATGTAAACACTTTGAGCTCAGTATGTGAAAACTAAAGATTGATCTGCAGAATCATATAATGTAAAATTTCTTACTACAAAAATTCAGGGTATTTACTATATATAAATTACATGATTGTGATGGAGTAAAATAATCAACCAAAAGACCTTTGCTTTGCACTATTACATGCTCTTATCAACAAAATAGAAGACAAGCCTACACACTGGAATAGTTGATCCTATATCTTCTTGAGCCAAGAGAAGTGAAAGAGCACCAGTAATTTGAAAAATGTCAGCTGGCTTGACAGGTGCTATGGAGGGGTATGGATCAATACCTTTAAAGCCAACTAATTATCAGGAACAAATTCCATCTCATTAGTATGAGTGTACATTTGGGAATGACTAACTATGCTTTAATAGGTGACAAATTAGCCAAAAACTGTTTAGGGACTCTGATCAGGATTCAGTGCATCAATGCAATAATAAGATCATACTGACAACTAGCTCAGTGGCTACTTAACCAAATTTCACAGTATATGGTTGCAGCTTTATGCAAAGCAACAAGTGTTCTTGGTCATGACGACACAACACAATTTAGCTGAAAAAGTAAGTTTAGAGCAAAGCTTGCATTATAACAGATGCACAGAATATTCAAGCTTCAACTAAAACCTGCTCTAATGTGTCAAAACTCTAGTACATCAGGTAGAAAAATTCCTTTAAAGTAAGGTTAAAGAGTTATATAGTCATACTTACAGGTATGTAAGCATTCCGTTACAGTGGTAGCGTCAATCAGGTATCCATTGCACAGACGACAGGTTATATGGGCATTAATATCCCAAAGCTTAATCTTTCTTGTCAGCATCTTTGGTGTTTGTAGATTAACTGCATTAGACAATAATTCAGGTGTACTGATCAGGTAGAAATTGTGCTGGAATAAGCAAAATGACATTGCTCTGCATTAGAGATGTGATTATTTCACTTCAGACTCTCATACATTTTTAATATATACAACAGAAGTACTACATCATTTTATAAGGATTTATCTGATAAACAAGTAGTGAAACAGTGCAAATTCTACACTGTTTTATACACCAAGACTTCAGCATGGTATATGAGAAACTGGTAGTTATACAAATTCTACAGAGGCGAAGTTTGATAGTCTAATACAAAAGCAGTTTTTCTTCCAAGTTACTCTTGCATGTTGCATAATACAGTACTTCTATTAATAAAACAAAATCTGAGATTTAGGGCTAAGTCCTGATGGTTTTGGTCATGCTACTAATTACATTCAAGCCAAGAATTAAAAGTAATATGAAAGTAAAGAGAGCTGACCCTAAAATTATTCAGTCATCCAAATATTAAAGAGTATGGCAAATTTGGTATAAGTGGGCCAAGCTGCAATGTTTATTCATAGCCTATTTCTCTCTAAACAATTACTTCGAAAATAATTAAAGTTGTACCTGAATAATGCCACTGAAAAACAGGTTCCAAGAAAAACCGTTTCAGTTTCATACTACATAAAGATTTGGATGGAAAATAGGGAAGGGGCAAAAATAACCAATACCAAGCACAACTTCAAAAAGTAATTTTGATATCAGCAAATTTGTCTCTCCTATGATATTAAAACATGAACTGCACATTTTTTACTTCTAGAATGAAGAATGCCATTACCATAACACTTTATCTTTTTTTTCCTTTTTTTTTTTTTTTTTAATATAAAATACCACTTTTCCAGAGAGTTGACAGAAAAAAAATAAAAATAAAAAATCAGAAACCATCAAATTCTGTTTGCCTCCCTTAACTAAAAATACACATACACAACTCCCTACCTTAAAACATGCATGCACACAAAGATATATCCATGTCATTATTCCCTTTTTTTTATTTTTGGAAATCTCAAAAAGAGTACTTAGAGTTTTAAAGAACTTAGTAGTTCACCCTTAAAACCATGCAAGATTATTTAGATTCATTAAGATAACTGCAAATCCTTGAGACATACTTGTAATTCACTAGTATTATCTTTCACAATAAAGTTTGTTGATATTATATATTTAGAGAGTCGGCTTTTGGATACAGAATACAAAACAATTTTTTTTTAAACCGTCAAAACGTTGTTACAAAACTGAAATACTTTACAGGCAGTCCTCGGACTTACGACACAATTGGTTCCTGAAAACGGCGTCTTAAGTCGAAATGTTGCAACTTGGAACTGATTTTCTCACAAGAAACAATGTTATAAATGGGGGATTGGTTCCTGAACCAAGGCCCGATACCCTGTTTTCACCAAAAATACCCCAGAATTTTGTACTCGATCAATTATAGATGAGTAATATAGCTACATTAATGTATTTATATTGTAAATAGCAATCATATGGATTTGGAAGGACTTCTTTGGGGTGACTTTGCTGGACTTTTTGAAGAGTTCTTGGCTAGAGTCTTCTCAGGAGTCTTGTCTGCAGATTTTTCTGGAGTCTTGTCTACTTTCTTAAAGAAAAAAGTGTCCAAGGAAGTTTGGACAGATGTTCTCCAGGGAGATGAGCGACACAGCAAACTTGTTCACTGGTGTGGCATCGCATCAGATCAAGCATTATGAAGTCGAAACTGACATCGTAAAGTCGAAACAGAGAGCCGATTTATAAACGATGTAAGTGCGAAACGTTGCAACTCGAAACGTTGTAAGTCGAGGACTGCCTGTATAAGCACTGTACCCAAAACACAAATCATTATACAGAATACAATTAAGTTTGCCCAAGAACATAACATTGGCTAAACTGTACACTTGTTAAATTAAGTGGTTTCAAAAACAGGTACCAATCATGGCATTCTGAAGTTGTGCTAAGACTTTAGGTTAAGTTTCCAGATCCCCATTTTTTTTGTTTTTCAGAAATACAGTTAACAAAAAACACTTGCTAGAGTTTACTTTAAGTGCTAACCTCTAGAATATTAATATATGAGCATTTAAATGATACACAATATTGCCTCTCCCCATTCCTACTGGATAACGTGGCTATTTTGCTGACTCAGTACAGGTTATTTGCTAACCCACCTAGAGATAAGGGAGTACGATGGGGTTAGCAAAATACAGCCTGCAGGCCAAATCCAGCCTGTGGCTGCTCCTCTGAAGCAGAACTGCATCCGGCCTGTGACTACCCTGGCTTTTGATACCTCTTGCCCTTCTCCCTTTCCTGTACCTAAGCCAGCTGCAGGAGGAGCAGCTGCTCCCCATTCTGGTCCAGCTTGCCCTGCCCTGCACCCCAGCCCCCAGTGTACACTCAAAGGCAGGGGGCACTCAGCTAGCGGCCAGGCTTCTGCCCAGTGAGGTTGTCAGCATGCAGCTCCAACCCTGGGCCCTTTCGCAGACCAGACAGCCCAGCCCCTGCAACAGTCAAAGCTCAGATGTGGTTTGCCCCACTGGCAGAGGAAAGAGGGCCAGGAACTCCAGGTTATCCAGGCCCAGTAGGAGCACAGGCACTGTTGACAGGATGCTGCACTGAGTTCCTGCGCGCTGCTTCACGTAGTGCCACATGAGTGCAGTTGGAGTGGCTCCTGCCTGACTGAGTCCCTGGTACACGGCTGAGTCAGGCAGCAGTCACTCCAGCTGCACTCACGTGACCCAAAGCAGAGTACAGAAACACAGCATGGCACCAGCCCAGCCCAGCTGCGTGCCAGGGACTCGGGGTGGGGGAGTGGGTACAGGGAGAAGGGGGAAATAGCCCAGTACTGGCCTGGCTGGCCCCCCTTTCCCTGAACTCCCTCCTTTGCCCCGAGTCCCCGGCACATGGCCAGGCTGGTACCATGCTGTGTTCCCACACGCTGCTTTAAGCTACGCGGGTGCAGCTCCTGTCTGACCCCCACCATGACAGGAACTCGGGGCAGGGGTGTAGGGAGAGCTGCAGGTCATACACATGCAGCCTTCAACAAGACTTGTTACACTGACCTTCCAGCCAAAATAATTACTCAGCCCTGGGGCATGTAGTGTGTGTTTAAAGATGAGCTAGGGCAGCAGTGGCTAACCCACAGCACACTATGAAAGGTGCTTAAGGGCTGAGCTGGTAGAAATGTTGTACCTTTAAACAGAGCAGCTGTGCCAGCTCCCAGTGAAAAATGGCAGAGTCCAAGAGCGCTTCAGTTCACTGCACAGTGAACAAGCAGGTGGGCATGGTGCCGGGGGAAGAGACACAGAAGGGGTGGGGGGAAGGATGCATTCTACTTTACCCCTCCCTCTCATACACTACTGAGTGCAGGGCTGCCCGGCTTCTATGGCTGGAGCGCACCTGCTGTAGCAAAGACTCCCAGAGTGGATGGAAAAGGTGGGGCTGGTCATCCTTGTGTCTCCTCTAAGTCAAAGCCTGCAGCAATTGCCTTCCCCACCCCCAAGTGATGATACCGACAGGAGATGGTGGAGCATCCCACACTCAGTTTAGCCTTGCAGCCATGGACCATGACCTGCATGTTGACAACAACCTTCAAGTCCAGGGAGCCTGGAGTGAAGCCAGGCTCATTACTGCCCTTCCATGTCAGATTCTTTACCACAGACCTCCCAAGCAATTACAGAGACTCTGAAGAGTAGCTGATTTATATAAAATGGGAAACAGGATGGATATCCAAGCCTTTAAATGCCTCTGCTGTTAGTTGCAAAAAAAGTCAGAGCCAATAACACTCCTATTTAAAGCTGCCTAATGCTTATGGTTGTAATACTTATATTTTCAGTTGCTTATATTACAGGGACCAGCAATATACATTACTGAGGTCCAATCTGGCCTGAAGAAGTCTGATCTTGCATAGAGGTTGGTGACAGAGCTCCCCATTGGAGTACTGCACTGTTCAAGTTTATGCTTGTTGCAAAGGGGCTTTGAATCTGACAGCCAACCACTTGGAGTGGAGTATGGGAGGGGCAGAGACTTCTGGCCCTTGGTAATGGCTCAGTTGTAAGCTGCTGCCCACACCAGCAAAAGGCTTCCAACACTTGGCTTATAAATATTGCCAAACTAATAGGCTTGTGTTGAATATATGCATGCTCTCTCAGATTTGCCTCCTGCCAGAGCTCATGTTTCACCCCCACCCTTCAATGGCTCCTGCTGTTTGTTCACCTCATCCACACTACCTGGGCAACAGTTTGCATACTGCACTAAAGAGAAAGAAGTAAACTCCAGGAGACAACTGCAGGGAAGTCTTGTTCTGACCCTGCATGTCTTAATTTGAGCTACAGGCAGTCACTTAGTACAAATGCAACTGCTTCAAAAATTAATGGGGAGATCAGAGATAATACGATAAAAAAAAAGAAGGGTGCAGGTGTCACTCCATATGCAACTCACTGCCACAAGCAGCACCAGTGTGTTTCAGGTTGAGGTGGTCTACCCATGTTAGAAAAGTCATATTGCCAAACTGGCAAGTTGTGTAGGTGGCTGCCATATTGGAATCCAAGACAGCTGCTGTGAATTCACATTTTTGTCAATATTTCAGCCCCCACTAGGGTTAGAAAATTAAATTTTGATGATTAAACCAACACTGTATGAACCAAGGAGATCAATCATATAGGGGTGCACCAATAAAGATTTTTGGGGCCGACACCAATAGCCGATATTTAAGGAAACATATCAGCCAATACTGATTCGATTTCCGATACAGCTGCCTCCAGCTGGTAAGTCCAGTGTGGTGGAAGGGGAGGGGGAAGGGAAGGGGTGTGGGAGAGGCAGATCAATGCCCCCTGTGGTGAGGGAGGGGGCAGGAACAGGCATGGCCCAGAGGGGCAGATCCATGGCTCGTGGAGGGTGGGGAGGGCAGGAAGGTGGTCCCCGCTGCTGCTTGCACCCTGAAAAAAGCATGGGGGCGGGGCTTGTGTCCCCGGATCTACATGGGGCAGGGCTGCACGGCGCTCTTCCCAGTGGGGGCTAGGCTCAGAGCAGGTGCCGGCAGTGCTGGGAGAAT